TTTCTAATAATGATATATGTAATTATGCAATTGTGAACTTTTATCTTAATACTTTAGAATTTTAGAAAATTAAGAACAAGTCATTGTTTTGCATATTAGATACATGTGAAAACTAAAACTGTAATCTTTACCCTTTTGCTCCCTCAGAATTTCAAATTAACAAAAGTGAACAATTATTTTTTCTCTACATGATGACACCTTAGGAAAAACAGAAATTGATGTTAGCACTTTACCATGTTTAATTAATGCAGTTATAAAAAGTGGCTAGATCTTGGCCTCGCAAATGTAGATGAAACCTTGGTAGCAAGTTTTGAAAATTTTACTAAAATGCTTTCAGGTGGACATATGGCTCTTCATCTGTTAGATATGGATTCATTAAAATAGCTGGTTTTTTACTCAGTGGATCCACTTGATATACTCTGGCATATTTATTACATTTAGAGACAAAATCATGGTATTTACCTTCGTAGAATCAAAGTAAATGGGTAGATTGTAGTCCTTCTTCTGTATTGTTAGCAATAGACTTGCTTCATATATTATCCTTAAAGAAGAAAATTTTGTTATGCTGTGCCTATATAATTCCATTATAAGGTTGACAGAATGGCTCCTTGAAGAAGGCAGAACTCCTCTGAAGTAAAGCATTATACATCCATCTAAGTTAGCACAGAAAATAACTTAGATATAATTTTGTCATCAGAAACATAATCACTAGATTTAAAAATTGAAATATTCCATGATAATTTGGAGGTGCATCTACATTAGCAGTTTGATTGTGATAAAGAGCAGACTTTTGTACTATTGTTCTTACAGAATGATCTTGAGTGCACAGGCTGGAGTCGCTCTGAATGAACCTAAGCTGAAGTGTGCACTCCACGAGCACATCTGACATCCTCCATCTGATAACAGACATTCAGTCTCCAGAAACAGACTAGGTAAAATCCCCAAAATGTGCATTATGTGAATATCTGGTCCCTGTGACTAGTTGTTTCACAGTACAGATCTGCTCTGATTACACTGTTTTTCTTTTATAGCCATAGACTACATTGCTAATTGGGAAAAAAAAATCTTTTGAAGCAGGATGAAAACCAATTATGTCATTTCTGGAGAGTTGTTTTTTAAAATATCTATACTTGAAGACAGCCTAAGACACCACTGCTATCTTCACTTTGTTGACAGAGGAGAGGGAAATTCTTACAAACTTTAAGCCACAAGTTAAACATTTTTTACTTGTTGCAGAACTACATCTTCTGTTTGTCTGCAGGAGGTGAAGATTTTCCTCAAGTGTCTCCTCAGTACCATTAACATGGAGGACAAAACTGCAGTGATTACAAATACCTTAGAAAACATGCCAGTGCATTGTGTAGGTACCATATCAGTTTCCACGTTAAAGTTTACAAATAGGGCCTTATGGCCTATTTTGTTCATCTCATTATTTTAGTTAAGAAAAAAGGATGACTTCATTAAGCTCTGCTACAAAAAATGTTCTCATCCTTTTCTTTACATCTTTGGTTTATTTCTTTAAAGTTATAAACTTAATGGATCATGTACTTTCCTTGCAGCCTCCATGTTTTCTAGACTACCCTCCATAGGCCATCTACATGGCAATGCTGTCCCTCAGCCAGAGACCACTGTGTCTGTGCAGCTTGGCTGGCAGGCAGCAGATCAGGCACTGACTGTAGGACTCAGTGTGATGGCTCTGTTCACACTGTTTCATTACAATCATTTTCAGAGGCTGAGATAACAGAGAGCCTGCCCTTAGCATGCAGCAGATATGCATGGTCCCTCAAGAAAACACATAATAACTTCCTTAAAACACATACTAAGATGCATGTCTGAGAGTAATGTTTATCCTACTGTAATAGTGTTCCTCCTGTTTGTTCAGCTGTCCCAGCAATACCTGCCAAGCCCTTTTCAGCATTTATATTATCTATAGTTTGTAGGAGTCTGATCATTCAGGGACAGTGAAAATAGGTGTGTTTTCAGGAAAGCATAAGAAGAAAAGAAAATTAGTTGATCAGAGCCATGATGCCAAATGCCCATTTCAGTGAGAGGTCAGATGACTCTCTTGCCAGTTCTGACCTGACACCAGATGCAGCATCTGAGCCAGCTCTAATCAGGCTTAGCCACTTGGCATAGCACTGATCACTGTGGAAATACCAAAACAATGTAAGTACAGCAGGATGTACCAGAACAGTCTGTTTCCAGACTCAGTGTATCTGGGACCATGCTGTGCATTTCTGATCGGGTGCTACTTTGCCTACTGTGGATGCACATTTAATGGCCAATATTCACAGGTGCACAGGTGCACAGAGTGAAGGATCTGGGAATGTACAGGCATGGAGATGACAGGAGGGCAGAGACTATTGTTAATGGGATGCAGAAACTGTGATTTGCCTTGGAAAGCTCAAGGGCTGTAAGATGTGGCATTTGGCATACAGGGGGAAGGAAGCATAGTAGATGATAGTACAACTTCTGTTATAGTTGTACAGGATGGAAAAGAGCATGTGACTGATACTCTCTTTTCAAGGCAGAAGAGGAGGGAGCCCAGACAGAGTACAGATATTCACAGAAAGCACAAGAGGCAAGAAGGCAAAGACAGAACAAAGGAGTGAAGGGACATGAAAGGAAAATGGTCTGCAGCATCCTAAGTGCCTGTGATATTTAAGAGTCCTCCAGAGGCCACTCTTCCCTTAAGAGGAAAAAAAATCATGCCTTTAACACTGGTGGCCGTAGGTCTCTCAAGTACATCTCCAGAGGTTGCTCAGGATAGTGACAGTCTGGACAGAAGATGAAAATACATGAAAAATTAAAAATAATACCTTCTTCAGAATCCTTCCTGAAAGAGATACTTTCACTTTCATATACGTTTGTTGTTGTCAGGGGTTTTGGGCCAAGAAAAGGATAAAGTTAGCTGTGGCAACTTTAGTCCCTAGCCTCTATTTCTCAGATCTAAAGTTGAATAAACTTACCTTTGATAACAGCAACACTGACTAGTATGTAGCTCCAGCTCCACGCCTCATAGTGATGCTGGCTGCCTTCAGACATTAAAAGGGGAGTTCCAGGCTCATTTTCTAGAGAAAAAAGTCTTCATTCTCAAGGTGTTTTTTTGGTGTTTTGGTGGGGAGGGGGATCTGGGAAGGAGCTGGTTGATTGGTTTGGGGATTTTTTTTTCTTATCTTTGGAAAAGCTTTTGCACTTGGAAGAGCAGTTTTTTAAAAACAAAAATTAAGACTTCTAGAAGAGGCAAGTGTGGTGGCTAACCTTACTGTTCCTTCAGTTTCCATTATCTGAGCTGTTCTTTGGAGCAGTAACTGAAATAGAAGGCAGAGAGTGGGAGTGCTGAATGGGAAGGTGAAGGGCCCTGGCAGATCTCTGCAGTGCAGGTGGAGCTCCCTCAAGCCTCTGACTTACATTTTCTGAGTCAGAGAATTAAGGGTTGATGGTGGCAATTATGTATGCTGGGTACAACAGAGATCTGAGATAAAGAGATAATGGTCCTGCTTATAATAAGAGAAAGGCAGTAGCTGAGAGCAATAGAAGAAGAAAGCAAGAAGAAAAGAAAAACATTAAGTGGGAGTCGGTCAAGGCATATATTTTAGCAATGGTGCTGGAATTTCAGGTCTTTAAACTCCTTCGACAGGTGATACTTCCTCCTTGGGACTCTGGAGCTATTAATATGGAAGTGAGACATTAAAAAGGAGAGAGACAGTCTGGCGCTTTGACCCTGAGAAGTTTGCAGACAGGGAGCTGTGGGAACCTTCCTCAAGGAACAGTGTTTTGCCCTGAGGCTACAAGTGCTGGAACGTATTTTCAGGGTTGTTCCTAAGCAGAGGGACCTTGGGAGGTTCAGACCAAAATGATCTTCTCTCCATAAGTGAGCTGTAAGAGGTCCCAGTGTGTTTTGGAAGGCTTGAAGATGTTGCTGTTTGTAAGTGTCATAGGATGACTTTTCAGGTTCACCCTGTTGGAGCCTGGGTGATTTGATAACACCTACACTACACTTCTCTTACAGCCCAGGGATGTCTGTGTACTTTATTAACTTTCTCAGTAATACATTTGTTACACAGCTTTGGCCTGGTGGCTGCATTTTGTGTTAATTTTTTTTTCATTATTTTATTTTACTTTTCTATTTTTTTTTTTTAATTTGCCATCTAATGTGAGGTGATTACTGCATTTTAATAACTGAAATTATTGTAGCATTTTGGAAGTAAACAGTTGATATCAGTAGTTAGGCTGAATCCAATTCCCTTTAAAGGCCAGTTACCCAATGACAGGTCACCTGTGGAGTTAAAGAATATTGTTGATATTATATATATAGCTATATATATAGCTTGAAGCTATTCAACACTATAGTGTTCAATGAGTAGATAATTTGTTAAACTTCAATACTAATAGTTCCTCAGGTATCATTATTATATAAATTCACTTTTTGTGGTTTTTTCTGTTCTGTGAATTCCTGTAGCACCTCTATTATAATAATTTGGTACATCTCTATCATTTACTTTGATTGTTATTTTCAAGTGGTAATACCTCAAAAGCAGACACAATTAGATTACTGAATAATGCAAACCACAAGAGATATTTATAGAGAGGAAAAATAAAATACAAGCTAATGACTAGTTCAACCTTCACTAAATACAAAATGTAACAATTATGGTAAGGTTTCCAAGTTCCTTAAGTGTCCTGTGTTGTCTAAGGCCTTTTTATCAACCTTAGAGCTATGCAGCCCTTGCATTTAATGTGCACAATAACTTTTCAGAGGAAAGGAAATTTTGGCATTTACAGGTGCATATGCATTAGGTAAAACAATCCCCAGTAAGTGGTGAGGAAAGTTCTCCAGATAATTTCCACCTCAGTAGGACCTGCAGGACTTAGAAATGCACTGACTTCTGAATGCCCTTGTAAAAGTCACTGTGATGTCAGAAAAAAATTTTATTTTATCTCTACTCAATTTACCCTGCTCAGCACCTCAGGCAGTTTTCTTTAGCAGTTATTTGACATCCACACTATCATTAGTGCACCCTATCAGGATATTCTAGTGCAAAGCACTAAAAAGCATCACGGTAAATGATTGCATCACTCCAGAAGACATTATCACTATAATTTAAAAAACTATTCACAGTGCCTGCCACATGAGTATGTCTTAACAGAATAAACTGATGCAAAACAAATACCTTAATTTTACTTCTCTAGTTTTTGAGAAACAGGAAATACAAAAGGAAATTAGAACATCCAGCACTCTTGGTAATAATTATCATAGGCATTTGAAAAACAGGCACACAGAAAAGGATATGTGCAGAGTCAGAGACTGCAGTGACCTCCCACACTGCCAAGTTCTTTAGAACTACTGAAATTATAAACAAAGTAAAAGCTCTTCTTTCCCAAACAGCCGCCTCGATGTCACTTGTTTCCACATTCCGGCTTCTGTCGTTGCAGCCCACACTTTCTCTGTTGCTAAGTGCTTTAGGCTTCTGCAATATGTTCCAGCAGCTCCCTGTTTCTCTCATATCTCCAAACTATCATCTGAGAGCAGAATGTCTAGGTTTATCTGACATGGCAAGAAAAAAAAAAAAGATTAAACTGTACAAATTACAGATTCTTAAAGAACACTAAAATTTTCCATATGAAAAAATATCTCCATAAACTTGCATGTAATTTCATAACATTTTGTTAGAACATGTTTTCAATTCACAGTAGGATATGTGAGGGATGAGGGCACATTATGGCTCCTGGGAGCAGCTGTAACTAAATCTTGACTGTAAGTGACAATAGCAGTACAGAGCACCGGGTACTTGCAGACGCTTATATCAGTGTTGCCACTGAGCTATGCAAATAAAGAACTTCATAAATGAATGAAAATCATAGGAAAAGTGGGGGGGAAAAAAGACAATACAACAGTTAAGAATTTATATAATTTTATAATTATATTGGTAAATGTAGACTGTTACATCTTTCATAATTCTGGCTTAAACACTGGTTTCTTCTACCCTTACAGCAGGCACATAGTAGTTTCCACTCAGGAGAGAATGACACTGTCACCATTATTCACCCAGCTATGTCTGCCTTTTTTGTTTTGGTGAGTAGGCATCTTACTGAGTGCAGTTTTCAGCCTATGTGCCTTTACCCATCCTGGAGTACAATTCCACAGCTCTCTCTGTATCCTTGGCTACAGTACCAGCATACCTACAATTGTGATTGCTGGCAGGTTTTGTTTTATGTCTTTCATTCAAGTTAAGATGAGCAACATTAGCTCTTTAATAGTGATTAGAGAGCTGTCTTTAGTGATTAAAGGGCTAACATATATAATTAAGTTGTGTGGGCATCCCTATTGCCAGATACAAGAAATGTTCTAGGTACATTTTTAGGTTAAATTTGGCATTTCCCAAAGCCAGCTCAAGGTACAGGAAAAAATAAGCAGTATTTTCAGAAGAAAGTAATTCAGCACATAAGGACTGGATTGGTAGAATGAAATAGTTGACACTAAGGCACCTCATTTTTTCCATCATATATGTTTTGGGGGTTTATTCTAGATTATATTTAGCCTGGTCACTAGAGCCAAACACCTCCGCTATACATGTGTTTCAAAGCTTTCTGAGAAGAAGTGTTAGGTATGTGCTAGAGGACCTTGTGATGATGCAGCTCACACGCTATTTTGGAACCTCTTGTCCCCATTAGCGCTAGGGTGCATGTGGAGCAGGTTGGAAGCAGAGCTTCTGTTTTCATTTCTTCTTGAAGGAATTTGGTTTGTATGCACCAAAACTATTTTGAGAACTGAAACACCACATGGTAAGTGGAGACAATGACAAGATTTTCCTCCAAACCACACTGTTGCTTTGAAACGAATTGCTAATGTGGACACAGCCTTCTTGGACAGCTGATGAGGGAGCAATCTGCAGGTTCTGCTAGGGCCTAGGAGAGAAGATGAGCTGCTTTAGACTGAATCCCTTCCCTCCACATAGACCACCTTTCAACATCACTGCAGGCCTTCTTGCTCTTCTCTCAGCACTCTGTGTTATTCTTTTTCCCACATCCATTCCCATGCTGGAAAAGGTCCCTGGCCTGCCCCATTCCCACCCATGTGAAGGTACAGGAAGTGACCTGTGGCTGCAGAAATTATGCAAGCTGTAGAATGAGGACCAACAGCTGCCTGAGACATGAGCATGGAGATGCCATAGCCAAAGAGAAGTGAGAAAAGAGTATCTCTAGGGTTAGGTGGGCATACATAGGTTGGTAGAGAGGGGGGTCAAAGCCCCCATGACTTCCAAAGCTCTGCTGCTTTTTTTTTTTTTTTACTTCATCCTCCTAAAAAATAACTGGCACTTCACAGTACCCTAACATTTCCCTGAAACATAAAAAAAGACCCCTCCCAGTGTCCCCATTTCATATTCCGAAATAGTTCGCTTGCTACTGCTGCAAATTTAGATTAACCACACAAATACAAAATTTCTAAAACCATGTTTCAGCAAGATGCTTTCCCTCTGCCTCCCCACACAGAGGGTAAGAGAAATTCTTGTTAAATCTGTCTGGTTTCTCTGGGTTCCTGGGCCTCTTTTTTGCCTCCAGACATGTTCTTTTAATAACTGTGTGCTGAAACAAGAGGTGTCTTGCCTCTGCCTTCATTCCCTCAGTTAGTCTGTGCCTGAGACCAAAGCTGATAACTACTCTTTTCCTTAATCAAAACCTGGGATAGGATGTTCTGTTATTTGACATCTTAAAAGCTTCTTGTGGAAGGCTGGGGTTCGCACACCCTCCACTCTACCCTAGTGTTAAATGGTCTGGTTTATTTTGAAGCAGAGAAGAGTACCAGTCAAGGCAGGGAATATGCAGCAAATAACGACTACAAAGCAGTGTAGGAATCATCTGAAAAGCATGTTTCATCCCATACCACCCAGACAAATTAATGGCACAGCCTCCACCAACCATGTAAGGAGCGACACACAGCCCCTGCATCACTCTACTTCCCACTTCTTTTCCCCTGAAGCACTGGTTAAACTAAGCAGATTTTACAAGGTAGTCATGTGCTCCACTTGCTAATAATCAGCTCAGTGTAAATATCAACACATTGCTGCAGAGAAGCTCAAATGTCATTGTAACCGTTCCCTTGGATTACTTCAGCTTTGTGAGGGACAGAGAGAACAAAGGTGCCAGAGGACAAACAGGCACCCTACAGCAAGCACAGGAAAAGCAGGAAGGAGAGAGGCAACACAATGAGAAGAGAGCTGGTAAAGCTAGAGTCATCTGGAGTCTAGAAAAGTAGTGTCCTACAGAGCAGCTACAGATCCACACAAGGTGATACCAGCAAAAAAAAAAAAAAATTCAAAATTTTTCTATGTAGAAGGACCTGGGACAGAAAAAACCCAAAACAAACAAACAGGGGCGATAGTAAAATAGTTTTGAATTTAGCTGACAAGGACCAAAAGCAAGAAGTGTTCACACACTTCATCAACTAGCATCCAATTAAAACAAAACCAAAAAAATAAAGCCCCAGCTGTAAGGGACAGCCATCTGTCATCTTTGCTGACATGCTCCTATCAAGGGCAAAGAGCAAGAGGCAGAAATGACCTATGTCTCATATTTAAGGAGATCAACCTAGGAAGCACTGAGATGTTGTATTGCAGTGCTGTGCTTTCTGCTAATTCCAGAAAGAGACTCTCACCTTCCCTTCTAACTAGAAATGGCTCTTTAAGGGCAGTATATACAGATGCAGTGTATTCCCTGAACTCTATTCTTGTTACGTTACTAAGATACAACTGTTTCTATGGAGAGCTTATTGGTGGACAAAATAAACTGTTTTGATGAATTATAAAAAAGGTAAATTAATTTTTCAAAACAAGATAATAAGATTAAAGCACACCAATATGGAATTTTGAGTACATAGTTACCTCCTCTTTTTTTTTCTTTTATTTTTTTTAATTTCTAGTAGACATTTATCCTAAATTCTGTATGGTCTATAAATTTATATAAATTACTATCTGTCCTGCAAAATACTTAACTAATTCTAAAGCCATGCATGTTGTTTGAGCTATAAAATCTCCACCTGAATTTTTGTTTGTTTTTAAAAGGTAAGTATAATTGTGCAGTATAAGTATCTGCATGGCCAGGAATATGCCACGTTGTGAAGAAAAGAGCCTTGAAATGAAGAACGGTAAAGAAGGAAAGAACAAATGAGTGTGTTAAATAAAGCTCACCATTTAACTTTAACATGGTTCTGGGTAACAGCTAGACTCTACAAATGACAACTAATAGATATGTGAGGGCATTCCTGCTTTTTTGGGGGGAGGTTGTTGAGGTCTTTTTGGGTTTTTTTTTTTATAGCTCTATTATTTTATACTGTGCTGAAACAGAACTTGAAATATGCTGTGCTTGACTTAGAGAATAGTTTAGTTGATCAATCAGCAATTTGGCAAAGCAAGCAGCTACACAAAAAGAAATTGGTGAGGAATTCCACACTTAAATCAATTGGAATTTATGAGTTACCTCTTCTTTTCTTATCCTTGTATCTTTAGAAATTGTTAACCTCATTTGAAGATGCACTTTGGTATTTTCAGTGTCAGAACAATTCTATAGGTTACATATCAGTTTAATCAATTGTCTTATCAACCTTAAATGCACACGTAGCTATGTAAAATTTCTCACTGGTACCTAAGAGGAAGCATTTCTTCCAATGAGCAGATAGGAGCTGCCATCTATATTCTTCTGGTTTTATGCCACACTTTTTTCTCTCTTACTTGGATGGAGTCTTGCAAATTTAGTACCAACATATAAATACACACATGGCTGCCTAAAGTAGGATTCATAGAACAGCAAAAATTAGTTAAGAAAAGCCTGACTGACCTAGCTGTTGCAATTTAAAAAGTTATTACAGACCTCAGCACTTTGTCCCTCCCATGTGCCAGAGGGTATCCTCCCTAGGAGGTGTGTCAGAAGAAACTACAGGCATCTGACTCACCTGCCTCTATGTCCTCACTGGTGGTTAATGCTACTTGCCACACTATACAGGGAAATAGGTATGGTTCTGTCTCCTCTCCCTCAGGGTGTAACAACTTTCTGCAGAAGGGTAGGGCAACTAGCTGGGGCAGTTAAAAAAATAACATCTTATTCTACCTATCTCCCCTGCATAGTTAGTGTTGTTAAGATTACAAAATGCCTTTGGCCTAGACTCACAGATAAAGCCCTACATCTACTTCCTTCCTTATTTCCTGAATTTACTTTCTGTTTCTTCTCTCTTGTATTCTCTTTCATCCATCCCAGCTCTCCTCCCATCCCCCTTATCTATCTGTAGTGCTTGTTTTGCAAAGCCTATCTCCTACTGACATCTCAAAAGCTGCCATGATAAATTTCAAAGCAGTCAGCCAACCAGCTGCCAGTGCACAAAAAACTCCAAAATGTAGTTGATCTGAGCATGCACATGGATCTCTAGAATATATAAGAAAGTCTCTGCACATGAACAATACATCATGTACTCTTGACCTGTGGCATGCAGAAAGCAAAGTGTGCAGTACTCAGTTCTCGCTGAGGTAGCCTATGTTTCCCTCAGCTCATTTCATTCTATTCCCAGATTTCCTGTGTCTCATTTTATTTCCAGCATTCACTATGCACACTGGTTCCATTTTCACGTGCCTTTTCTGATACTCCTCATATTCTCTACATTGGATTTTAGTTCTGCTCCCACTTCTTTTATTCCCGTGTCTCTCTACACCTTCCTGTCCAGAAATAAAAACAGAAATTTGAGAATGATCTGGTTTCATCTTCACTGGAACAGCTACCATCTTTGCTAGAACAAACTTAAGTTTTATGTAACAGTATTACAGGAAAGTAATCAGCTGTTATGACTGAAAGCAATATCATTTAAGTCCCAAAACACTCTGGGGAGAGCAACCATTACAATAAGGAAAGACCAAGATGTTTGACACCTATAGTCTTGTAACTGCAGGAGTCTCTGTGTATTTTGTGCTTTAATTTCAAATCCACTAAGTAGTTTGAATTGGCAATGATACAAAGGTTCTGAGACTCACTGATGGCATTTCTAATCAATTCAGTGAATAGTGACTGCAAATTTCTATGAAGCAATTAACTTGCCATGAAGAAGCTATTCGGTCTGAGACACTGAACCTGCATGAAAGAAACAGAGAAGAATAGGAGCCTTTTCCCCTGCCATTTCAGCTTTCTGTTTCACAAAGGGAGAATTGTATCTCTGAATGGTACCTGAAAGGGACAAGCAGCAGAGGTGTGCACATACAAGTGACCAATTTTCATTACCTGCAGATCTTCATTGTTTTGCTCAAATTCTTTTCCCCACCTTTAGTCTCCAACACAAAATGTAAACAAAATGTTAAGAATAAAATAATCTTTCTTTCACTAGGCTAGAGTTTTATAGTGATGTATTGTCCAAGGCACAAACCTAATTTTTAGACAATTACAGAAAATACGTCACCATTTTCTATCTGAGCATAGTAATTGACCTAGTTGAAGTAGGGTTAATATCTTTTGTTTTGAAAAGCAGGATGTCCTGTCTTTCAGAGCAGTAGTAGAAAAATAAAGGAGTGTCTAGTGTTTGTTTGCAAACCCAGGCAGAACTGTACAAAAAGAGTCTGTCTCCATGCTATTAACTTCATTCTACAAGGACTAAGCTGACTCTTGCTGAAGTCAATGGAAAGACTTCATTTACATTAGCTGGAGGAATCTCCATCTGGAAGCAGAAAACAGTCAAGAAAAAACAAGCAATTAAACTAGATTTTCCACTTAAGCAGTGCTCCAGATCAAAAAAATATACACAACTGGTAGATACTTTGTATGTACAAATACCACAAATGCCAGATATAAATAAAAGCATCAATTCTGATATTGTAAAGATACTGAAATCATTAGCTACATGACTGATAAATATTCTTCAAAATTTAGAGATGCAAGGTGTGAAGAAATGAGAAACAATATTTAAGTAGCATTGTGACAGGATATTGTGATGTTACATATAGGAACTAAAAGGTTTAGTAATATAAAGGAAGAAAACAGTGACAATATGTCATATGTATATGTCATGTCATATATTACACATATTTACATGCTAAAAAATTGTAATAGAGATAGGAACTAAGCACAGGTAATGTGCTTAGTCTTCTAGTAATTTCTACAGCAGTTAATCAGTCTCCAAACACCTGGATAGCTATGCAAATGAAAATCTCAAGTGTAGATAATGAACACCCCACTATTTTCACTTTGATAACTCTTTCCTGCTTGCCAAAAACAAGGTTTACAAGAACAAATAGTAACTTTCCACAATGTGCTTATGTGAAATATAGACAGCTAAAGCAAATTGCAACTAAAACAATGACCAGCTATCAGTTACAGAAATCATGGCAGAAATGGCTACAGCTCTTCTTAGCAGAAGTATAGCCCTTTTGCTTCTTTCAAGGGGTACCTCCTTCGTGTTACTACTTCCTGCTTCCATTCATCAGAAAGGAAGGGGTTTGGTTGTCCAGTGAGGTAATAGAATTGTACTGTATTTAGCCTAGAGGCCTTGTACTAAATCAAAGTAACCTGGAAAATGCTTTATATGAATATCAGCCTGATGTAAGAAAGCAAGAAATTATCTTAATTTGATTACTTTAAATGGATTCGAGCTTTGCATAGGTGGAAGACAATTATTTCAGAAAGGAGTGCTGCACAGACTAACATATAAATAGCTCGTGCTGTGAGGAGAACAATAGCCCTGTTTCTTTTCTCAGAGCACAGATACAATTAGTTAGAGGATATTGCATTCTTCAGAAATTTTTGGCATCCAATAGAAAAAAACAATTGCATTTCAAAACAGAATATTGTATTTGGAAATCATTTCCTCTTTTAATAACCTGCCAAGGCTTTCAGTCCTTCCCCTGCAAACGAACACATCCCTTGTAGTTTAGCACAATGCTTTCCCACACTGCTGCTGATTGCGAGGTCGCTGACTCCTGATGCAGTGACACAGAATCCTGAGCTTGCCTCTTGGCAGGGAAGTAACTGCTTTCCACATACATTGTGTTAAAAATGCATGTTTCTGTAGGGTTTCCATCTACCGTTACATGAACTCCACTGATTTAACTCCCATACTTTTACTGCCACAAAATAACTACATACTTTTCTTGAAGAAATGTAGAGGTAAAGCCAAAATGTTCATTTTCAAAGCAGAAAATCTCAGTCCCCTGACAGCACTGTATTCCTACTGCTGGATTTAGATTCTGATGGCTGATGTAAATTTCATCAGATTGTCCAGTGGCAATAATTCATTCCATGAAACCTGGGTGTATTCCATTCTAGCTGGATTAGAGAGAAGACCTATTGCACTCACCAGCCAATCCATCTTAAAACCAGTTTAAAATATTAATCATCATGGCTAGCTAGATGGAAATATGATTGATTGCTACATAATCCACTAAATAATAAAACAAATCAATAGCTATAGTTATAAAACTAGACCCATGGGATAAATCAATCAAAACCAGTGCCTACATTTCAAACTTAAGTCTATCACTCTGTCTTCCTTCTGCACTGTCTTTTGCCCAGATGTGAAAATCTTCATCTGAGGTCATGAGGTAGTGGCACATACAAAGGCCAAATGGGTATCAAGTGTTCTACCATTACAAATTCTTCCCTCTTAAAAATTCATAATTCTCTCCATTATAAGTGGAAACCCCTAAAATACTCTAATTACGCTGCAATCAGTGTTGACCCCTTATTTCTTGGGTGACTCATCCTAACTGCTCATTTTTTAAGTTTCATCCTTTATTTGCCATAATTACTTTTCCTGTAATAACAGAAGTATCAACAGCAGACTTTTGAATCAAGTAAAATGAGCATATTTTACTGATACTTTTAATATATAAAAACATGGCTTCATAAACTTCCAACCCACGTTCTCTCTGTACTTCATAGGTAGAACAGCATTTACTTGGATGTGCTGGAATAAATGGACATGCTGCACTCGTTACTGTGCTGTCTCAGAAGCTTGTTTTAAAAATCATGCACATAATAAACTTGCACACTATCATTTCTAATGTTACTACGTACCCAAAATAGCCTTCAAATTGAATAAGATAAAACAAAACATACATCATCTAGTTAGCATTCAAAGATCAGGAGAACTGGTAGGTCTAGCAGGAACTGGTAGGTCCTGAGCTTTAAAGGAGATCTGTAAGGGGTATCTTTGCATTACCAGAAAGTTCAAAGCTTGAGTGTCTGCTTTCTCTGTGTTATTAAAAATCCCACAAGTTTTGCAAATGTAAGGTAGCTATCCTACATCTTGAAAACATGCAAAAACACCGTGGTAATCATGTTTAGTCTGTATAAACAGAACGTTTGTTTCTGAGTCATATTTACTTCTTTTTATTGTAAACCGATTTCACTAGAAATTTACATCAGCATGGGCAACGCGAATTTCTGTGCATTTAAGAAGTGGTTTCATGCTTGCACTCCTTTTTTAGGCAAGAGCAATTGACTTCTGTTTACTGGGAAACATACTTGTCTGTATTCTGGTTTGCTTGTGCTGTTGGAAGGGTCAACAGAGCTGGAAGCAGGGGAATTTTCGGCTGGCACTGCTCCTGCAAAGGCAGCTCCCTCTTGGCCCTACTGTGGAGAAGGCCTAGCTTGAATAAGCTGCACACGGAGTTCCTCAAGCTCAGGGGCTTGCTTCTGCAAATTAAAATGTACTCTAGCCTCCACCTAGACACAGCATAGTACAGACCTGCCTGCAGAATGAAGCAGTTTTGGCCTCACTCAGCATTCACGGGAATGTGAGGAAGCTAAGACCCATAACCCTGGGCTGCATGAAGATGGAAAAGGCTCCATGACACCGAATTTGAACTGACAAAAGCAAGACAGCAGGTAGGCAGCAAGGATCAGCAGATGTCCAAAGGGAAAAAAAGCAAACCATTTTCCAAATTCTGGCCCAAGTTTACCTATGCCCTGGTACTTTAATTCAAAACCATGTCGCTAAAATCAGCTCAGACTTGGCCTTCCTGACAGATCTTGTTCTTTGTGATGGAAATGTGAAAAAACATAGCGCAGAGCAGCTGGCTCACCTTCTAGGTCTCCTTCACAAAGCCTAAGAAATTCAGGGCTGGAAAGGGCTGAGAAGTGAGGAAACACAGACTGGATCGCTGAGGGGAGAAGGATTCTAAGCGCAGGAAGGCAGCGCGGCTGGCGCTGTCAGAGCGACCACAAGGAGGACAAGGGGGATGGTGCGGGCACCGCTGAACGCACGAGACAAAGGAAAGAAAACACAAGAATAAATACGGAAAACATGAGTTAGAAATTGATCAAAAGAGACACCCAGCTTCCCTTAACTTTGCTTACTAATGTGCCAGCCGCAGGAAGGGGGAGCAGGGGGACGCCTCAGAGATGAGCTAAATCCCCCTGCAAACCCAAGAGGAAACGCTGCCAAGGAACCGGTAAAAATGAAGCGAGCAAACGCCACTTTTCTACCCTGCCCTACACGAAACGGCTCGGGGAGACCCCTCGGACGGCCAGCAGCACGCAGGGCCCCGGCTCGGCTTCCCGGGAGCCTCTGCCGACGAGACCCACTTCCTCCCGCGGGAGGAGGCGGCCGCGCACGGCCGCTGGAGGACCGGCGAACGGCAGCAGCGCCCCACTCGGCTCGGCGCGGCCGGGCTCCCCCGCAGCGGGGAGGGCGGCCCAGAGAAGCGCTGCGGCAGCCCCCGCTCCCCGCGCCGCCGCTCGGGGCATTCCCCGCGCTCCGCCCTGACCCCCCCGCTCCCCGCGCAGCCGCCGGCTCAGCCGGGGCCGCCTCGGCCGCCAGGTGTCGCCGGCGCACGGGCGTCCCCGCGGCCCCTCCTGCGCCCGGAGCCGGCGGGGCTGGCTCAGTGCGAGCGGGCGGAGGCGTCAGCCCGCAGCGGGGACGCGCAGCCCAGCCCGGCTCGCCTCGGCTCGCCCCTTCCTCGCACACCCCCGCGGCCCGACTCGGCTGACGCTCTCGGCACCGCCAGCGGCCGGCCGGGCGGCTCCCGAGCACGGCCTGCGGCCGCTCTCCGCTGGCGGCGGCGGGGAGCCGCGGCGAGGAGAAAGCTGCCGCTGCGGCGGCGGCGGCGGGGGGAGCAGCCATGTTGGAGCGGGGAATAAAGTGACTTTCCTCGGGGAGGGAGCGCGGCCGGCGGTCCGGCGAAGGCTCTCGGGCGGCGAGGGGAGGGGGGGTTCGGCTCCCGGCGGCCGGATACCGCTCCTAGGCGGAGGAGAAGGGGAAGGAGAAGGGGCAAAGGAACCGCCCCCGGACCCGCGAAGCTCCGGCGCTGCTGGTGAGTTGTGGCTGCTCATTGTCTCCCGGCCCAGGGGTGCGGGTCCGGCTCGCGGCGGGGTGTTGGCTCTCGGCCTGCGGTGCGTGGGACGTCGCGGGGGGTGAGGTGACAGCGCGGCCCCGGAGCAGGCGGGAAGTGATGGTGGTCGTGGGAGAGCTCCCCGCGAGAGGGCCGGGGGCTGCCGGAGAGCCCCGGGCGCGGGGAGCGCCGCTCGGCGCCCCCGGGCAGGGTCGGGCCGGGCTGCGGGGGATTTCCGCTGCCCGGTGGCGGCTGGGAGCGGCTCCGCGGGGGCTGGGGGGCAGCTCCGAGAGGCTGAGCCCTCTGCGAGGGGGGCCGAGCGAAGCCGGGCCGGAGGGGTGAGCCGGGGATGGCAGCCCCTGAGCACTGCCGGATTTTTTGGTGATCCTGCGTTCGTCACCGTCCTTTCCCCGCCGCCTCCTCCTCTTCAAGCGAGGCAGCGTTCTCCTGACAGCTCTTCTGCTCGCAGCCTCCGCACGTATGACACATCGCTCCTATTGCAGGTCTCCCCCCACACGCACACCCGAAATATGTAGGTTTTAGTGCGTGGCATAAGAGTTCTTCTGCTCTGAGCTTTGAGCTAGAAGGTGACAGGATACGTGAACATTGTCTGACCCTGAACTTCTGTGAACTCCTCCTTCCCCTTCCTCGCTCCCATATGTAATGGCTTGAGACCAGTGAGAGCAAAATGGTTCTCTCGAAAGGACGGGGAAAATCAGGTGGGATCATGTATATTTTATATTTCTTGCAAATGTATTACGCCCACCCGTGCCAATACCATGTTCATATGAGTGGATTAGCTGTTGCGCTAGAAGAATGCTGACCTTGATCCCCTTTGTCTCTCCTGCAGCAATTTTGGTAGCTGGCTCTAGTTGTTTTAAACTCATTGCTGTCTTTGGCACTTTGCTAATGGTTGTTAACAGTGTTATGAGTGTTATGAGCAAAACGGGGCTGACTTATAATCCAAACTCAGTGATATAAAAAGCATTCATTTCTTTTTTTCCTTTTTTTTTTTTTATTTTGGTGAATAATTTCTTTTGTAATTTAACAGAAGATCAATAGCAACTTGTAGGTATCACGGTATAGATACAAGAGCAAGCCTGGTTTGACGTTCTTCCATTACTTCTCTCCCCCCAACACTTTTTTATTGTATTAATTGAACTGGAAACCATATCACCAAAGGTTAAATACTGAGAAAAAAACACTCATTAAATTAGACTTAGTACCAAATTCAGATTTGTTTTTCAAATTAGAATTGGAAAAAAAAGTAGGTGATCTGGTATTTTATGTGCTTAAGATGTTAAAGAAATTGCCATATTGCTTTGTTATAAGAAATCTGTATATTCACACACAGCTCTTGTTATTTACATCTGCCCTTCCGTAAGTGACATGAGAGAGGCTTGTTTTGAATAATTAATGTAGAAGAAACAGATACGAAAACATAAAATCACATGTCTGAATACATGGTGAAAATTTTCCTTTAAAATTGTTTGTGCTTGAAAGAACAGGCTGAATTTAATTCTCCAACATAGATAAACCATTGTAATGTTAACTTGGCATTAAAAGGGCCACTTAAATTGGAAAGATGAAAGCTTTTTTTTTTTTTTTTTGCTGGCATAATTTAAATACTGCTTTGACAATAAAGAGTCTGACTTACAAAAATCTTTAGGAAGGATAACGCAATGAGGTTCATACCTTTTATTTGCATATTGTGCTGTGTAGCTGTGTGTTTACCCAGGATGGAGCTCTACACAAATCATGAGGTGGGTTCTGCCTACATCCGTACTGAAGAGTTTGCAAATTAGAGCCCATGTTGTCTGAAGCAAATTATAGTTTGAATGTGGGGAGTCATTTATTTTGGGCTTGGCTAAGAATGTCGTGCATTAATTGATCTTTTTAATATGTAAAATGCCACTAGCGTGTAGTGAAATACCTAATTTATAATTGCAAATATAATTTAAATTGAGAAACAGATCATGGCTGTGTATTTCCCCTGAATGGCTCTGGCTTCAATTTCTGCCTAACACTGCAGTGTGTAAATATGGTATAGCTTATGACAGGGATGTTAAGATGCTCATTCTGCATGTGTTACTGTCACAATGTGGAGCTCTTACAGTAAAAGGATGCAGAATATTTTGAATGGCCTAGTAACATACAAATCTTGTAATTTCTTAAATTACTACCTGCTGCTAGGGGAAAAAAAAAAAAAAGAATGTTATACTCATCTTAATAAGTTTCTGTCCAGCAATATGTTTGAGTAATTGCCCCTAAAAAGTGCAGTTGGGAAAGGCTTTGTTGAAGTCTTGTTCATTGAACAGTCTACGTTAAAATCTTTCCGTGAGTTTGCTCTTGACCCTCTTTTCGTGTTAAGTGGAAGCTGTTGATATTCGCCGTACAAATAATTTTTTATTTTTTTGTCCAAGAAAGCTAATGAGCTGTATTTTAAAAAGTTGTATGTACTAGTTGTGTCTTTATTGAATGCGTTATGTGTTATAATGTGAAAATGGACAAGATCATGTCTAAAAATCAAGATCAATTATTATAAAGCTTTTCTAGCATAAACTCACTAAATGTGGCTTACAGTTCTTAAGTTATCTTAACTTTTTACCTGCATGCTTTCTAATGCTTACTCTTTTTTTATTTCTTCAGCAAGCCTTTTGTAGCTATTGAGGCAGCTGGACACCACTGTGATCGTAGCAGTTCAGAACTTTATATAATACACTACAGCTTCAGCATGTAAAAATGCTTCTAAAATGCCAAGTGTTTATATGACAATTATGGTTCGCATCTAAAGAACAAACTAAAGGAGTGTATTGTTGGCCATCACTGCCTTATTTTGCAATGCACATAATTACAGCAATGGCTTTTGCCTTCTTAGTCTAAGAACTGGGATTTGGGGTTTTTTTTGGTGCCTGTTCACATACTGATGTAGCAACTTGGATGATAGAGGTAAAAGTATTTTCTATTTACTTATTTTAATCATTAGACAACAATTTGCTTGTTACAATAAGTCTAGGCCTAGGGGCCTTTTAAAACTTCCTGAATATTTTATATTCTGTTATTTATTCCTTTTGGGCCCTGATAATGTTTTTCCCCATGAAACAGAGCATTCTCCAGGAACACCCAGTAGTGGTGTGGGATGATTTTTTTTTTTTTCCTGTGTATTTTATGAAGAGTCATGATGCACTTTTGACAGCTTTTATCTGATAAAGAGTGAAAGTTAATGCTTGTTTGGATAAATGACTTTTTATAATTCTATACTGAATACAAATTCATAGATACTCATTCTTTACTAACTTGATGGATTGGCAATTCTTCCAGAGTTGTTGGTTTCCTGAACTTCTTTGAGCAGTGATGTCAACTGTCAAGAGTTTAGTAGAACTGGCTCGTTAGAACATGTACCAACAGCAGTTTGAACCACTGATAGTCATGAGGAATAGACAAGACCTGTACTTGAGCTGATTTGCCAACTTGGAACACAAGAACGTTGGAAAAGGAAAGAGTTCTTATAATTCTGTGATCGTGTAATATAGAAAACAATGAACATAATAAGTGCATAAATCAGGTAATTTTTGTTGAATCAGCTTTTGACACATCAGTCCTTGGATAGTAAGGCTTTAGCCACATCCTTGGAGACCATTATAGTCTGTACCTGGCTGTGTTATAAAACATCATGGACACATTGATACTGGAAATTGTTGCAGCCATGCTTTACGGGATATTTGGGCTTTTGTGGTGTAGTGCTTGCTTTTAAAGGATTAGAAATGTCATTCACTAGGAAACATCAGTTTATCAGGGGTGCTGTGCCTAAGCATGGATGGCGGAAAAAAAATAAATGTGATAAAGTAGCATTTGTAAGTGCATCAGTAGAGGAAACAGCTGTCAAGTCACATTTTAATTTTTCACATAGTAAGACAGAATTAGGCAAAATGATTTTAAGAAGACAGAAAAATACCAACTTTATAATGTTTTTAACTAAATGCTGAAAGGCTTCTCTGAATTTCAGGACAATTTTCTGCTTGCTTATTTCAGGAATACATTGAAAATGCAGTAAACTGAAGGACAGTTGTATCTTATGTTTTGATTATGACCTTTTTATATTCTTTTTTTATTTATAATCTCTGGAACAACTAGTTTTGCGTATATTATGATTATAATCATAATATATCAGGGCTGTGTTACTATACCAGAACAAAGAAATGACATGTCTTTCAGTTGCACTCCTAGCTACAGTTCTTGCCTATCTTTGATTTTAGGTTCAACTTCTTAGAGATTTTGCATAAGTGAAAATGTTACTCTGTGCCCTCCAATCATATTTCATTTAATTATTATCTGTACCTCATAATTGTACTCTCTTCTCTGACTGCTGCTGTTTTTAAAGGTTTGGTAGAGTTTCACAACGGTCTCTGATTTTTAACATCTGCATTTTGTCAGCTTCAGTAAGGACAGTTGGAAGTATCCTGGACTTTGAATTTGTGTTAAAGTTGTCAGAATCATGACATTCTCTTCTTTGCTTGGTTGATTAGAGCATTTTGCAGGCATGTAGCTGTACTGAGACAGTAATATCATAGTCAACTGTCCTAACCTGTATAGTCTTTCAGAAATGTCTTTTCTCAAGTATTTCTGACTTCCTGTCATCTTACAATATGGAAGTGTCTTTGTTTAGATGTTGTTCAGGTATGTGCAAGGTGTCTTTATACAGCAGTCATTGAAGTTAACATTTTATGAGGTTTGCAGTTACTTGGTGTTCACTGAAATAAGTATCTTTGCAAAATATGGATTACTAAGAATT